ATGTCCCGAACAACGATCGACATCCGTGCTTGTACCACCGATCTGGTGGTGCATGTCAAGCATGGCTGGACAACATCTTGACCAGCCACGGCGTAGCAGTGTCGGAACTGCACACCAAGCTCACTTGGCAGGAGTTGACTGACGCCTGGCACAAGCGATTCCAAGTGGAGCCGCCCGACCTGCAAGCTATGGACAAGCTCAACAAGCTCCATCAGAACACGCTGCTCAGTCAGGACTGGATAACCGAGTTCCAAAGACTCGCCTCCACACCTGACCTGCCACTTGCTTTCCGCGCCATTAAGCACTTGTTTATCATGCGCTCGTGTCCATCTCTGCAAAACGCGCTGACGCAGATTGCAGAGACACTCGACACATCCGACAAGCTTTTCAGCACCGCGTCACGGATCATTCTCACGAATATCGAAGCCCGCAACGCCGGCCGATCTTCCGCGACGACGAGCAGCACCCAGCCCAAGCCAAAGGTGGCTTGCATTACTTCTACCGAGGCTGCAACACCAAACGAGGGTGAAGTGTTGGCAGCTGCCCGGGAGGGTGGCCGACCGCGCAACAATCACGGTCGCGACAAGACGAAGACTCAGTCCACCTCTACACCGAGCACCGGATCAGCCGCCGATGAACCTTGGGTACAATACGGACTCTCGGCGAATTCTTATCGCACGAGACTCAAGTACCGTTATTGCCTTTGGTGCAACAGCACCATCCACGATGCTGCACATTGCCCCACCAARGGGAAACCYYGTCAGGGAAAGTAGGYGCCGCCGAGGGTGACTCGAYACCTCYCTCGACGCCATCGGAAGCGGTTGTGCGCACGACCGCCCTTTCTTCCGAGGCATATGCGGATGTCGGGAGTCTTCCACTTTCGTTCGAAGACTTCGCTGCCCGGCTCGTTCCTTCAGTGGATGCTTCTCAAGGACAAGATACATGTGCTGCTTTCTCACCGTCCGAAGGTTCTTCCGCCAGTTCGTCTTCATCAGGGGATTCGGCAAGCGTGTTCAACGAGGAGGCTTTGGACCCGCTCACGCCCGAGGACTTCGCTTGGATTCCTCTCCCTACGACGGGCAACCTTCCGGGGCCGCAAAGCGCAGCCCTATGCGCCCTCTTACACCAGTATCATTCCTTCCATGCACCACCAACTTCGCCGACGGTAGACGAAGTCGCRGTGGGGGACATGCTTGGCTACGTTGCCAAGGTGGCCCGCGAGTTTGTCTCGCAACGGTACGAAGAAAACAACGCACCGTTGCTCTACGTTCGCATTCAGATTGGGCAAGCAGCCTGCAACGCTTTGCTAGATTGYGGCGCAACTCGCAACTTCATCAGCCAGTCCTTCATGACTTGGGCTGGCCTTGGCACACAAGTACGGAGGAAGTCACATCCGACGACCGTCGCTCTTGCCGACGGTAAAACGAAACAGCTTTTAGACCGTTACATCTCGGCTGTCCCGGTGTACTTTGCACCGCACGCATGTGAACCCGTCACTTTTGACGTGTTGGACACCGACTTCGATGTCATTTTGGGGATGCMTTGGCTTTCTAGCGCGGACCACACGGTCAATTTCCATCGACGCACGCTCACGATTCGTGATGCAACTGGCGCCGAGGTMCCGTGTACTATTCCTCCTCCTCGCTCTTCCATTAGGTGCCAAGTCGTGAGTGCCAAATCTTTTCGAGACGCATGCCGTTCTGAGCATGTCGAAGAGATTGGCATCGCTTTGCTTCGAACCGTCCCGACGACCGATTCATCGTCCACAGAAGTGTCTTCCGACCCCCGTGTGACCCGGTTGTTAGACGAGTTCTCGAATGTTTTTGAGACACCCTCCGGTATAGTGCCGGATCGGCCAATCTCTCACTAGATCATACTTGAGGCCGGCGCCGTGCCACCGAAAGGATGCATTTATCGCATGTCCGAGGAGGAGCTCACGATTCTTCGTGCGCAACTCGACGATCTACTCGACAAGGGTTGGATCCGCCCTAGCAGCTCACCTTACGGTGCGCCCGTTCTCTTCGTTCGGAAGAAGAACAAGGACCTTCGACTTTGCATTGACTACCGACGCCTCAATGCGCAAACCATCAAGAACGTGGGGCCTCTACCTCGCATTGACGATTTGCTTGAGCGGTTGGGCGACGCCAAGTACTTTTCGAAGTTGGACCTCAADTCGGGCTACCATCAGATTTCCATCCGCCCGCAAGATCGGTACAAAACCGCGTTTAAGACGCGATATGGGCATTTTGAGTGGGTAGTTATGCCTTTTGGCCTCACCAATGCCCCGGCCACCTTTCAGGCGGCCATGACCACCGAGTTTCGCGCTATGTTGGACCGCTTCATTTTGGTCTACTTAGACGACATCCTCGTCTATAGCYGAACTCTAGAGGAGCATCTCGAGCACCTTCGCCGTGTTCTAGAAACTCTTCGGTCAGCCCGGTACAAAGCTAACCGCGACAAATGCGAGTTTGTCCARCAAGAGCTTRAATACTTGGGTCATTTTGTCTCTCCGGAAGGCATTCGTCCGTTGGCGGACAAGATTCAAGCCATCCAGKAGTGGCCCGAGCCGAAGAATGTGACGGACGTCCGATCCTTCCTCGGCTTGGCCGGTTATTATCAGCGCTTCATCAAGGGTTACTCGAAGATCGCGACCAACCTAAGCAAGTTACAAAGCGAGGAGCGGCCTTTTGACTTCGACGACAACGCGCGCCATTCTTTTGAGACACTCAAAGCGGCACTCTTGTCCGTCGAGGTGTTACATATTTACGACCCGCTTCTAGCTACGCGCGTCACTACCGATGCGTCGGGCTATGGCATTGGGGCCGTCCTTGAGCAGCACGATGGCACGGACTGGCACCCGGTCGAGTACTTTAGCAAGAAAGTACCTCCCGTGCATTCGATCGACGACGCACGGAAGAAGGAGCTTCTTGCCTTCATCCACGCCCTCAAGCGTTGGCGACATTTCCTCCTTGGTCGGAAAGCATTCCGATGGGTAACGGATAACAATCCGTTGGTATTCTACAAGTCGCAAGAAACGATTAACAATACCATTGCCCGTTGGATGGCTTTCATCGACCAGTTTGACTTTTTCCCCGATCACATTCCCGGGAAGTCAAACCGTTTTGCGGACGCCCTCTCACGGCGACCGGATCTTTGCACCGCAGTATACTCTACCTTCGAGATCGACGACAACTTCGGAGAGCTTCATCTGCGGCTATCAAGCCGACCCCCACTTTCGCGACAAGTACGCGAATTGCTCCTCTTCGAATCCAGTGCCTTCGCATTATCGGATCCAAGAGGGCTACTTACTTGTGCATTCATGGGGTAAGGATCTTCTTTGTGTGCCGAATGATTCACACTTGCGCACACGGCTTCTTGGCGAGTTTCACGATGCGCCCGCCTCCGGACATTTTGGTGTCAACCGTACACTTCGTCGACTTCGCCAGCGGTTCTATTGGCCCGACCTTCTCAAGGACGCCACCCGCTATTGTGAGTCGTGCGAAGTCTGTCGGCGTTGCAAGGCACGCAACCATCGTCCGTTCGGCGAGCTACACCCATTACCAGTGCCCCTTGGGCGACGGGAAGCAATTGCTATGGATATCACCGGCCCCTTCCCGAAGCACAAGACCGGTGTTGATGGGATCCTCACGGTCGTCGACCGCCTCACCAAGTA